TTACGATACTTTAAGAGATTGACAGAAGATGATGGCAGATGCGGTCACCCAAATCAGAAGATGGCTATATCTGAAAATCGGTTTCTAGAACTACACATTAAGTTATTTCGACAGCGTGCTTCCAAAATGATGCTGTTCCTTCCGATTTCTCTTCCTACCTCACCCGGAATTATCGTTGTCACTGCCTTTACCGGTAAAGGTACGAGGCATACCGAAATGTGTAAAGCGCATTGTCATGATGGGTAAGTCGAGGTATGACATCTCATCGAACTCGCCGTTAATTATCGGCAAGGAAGAGACCCGCAAACGGGAGCCCCATTTCCCCGTTGATTCCCGTTTAAGGCAAACTACTCGAGGCTAACGTCAGTTATGGGCTCTGCCCACCTCTCTTCTGAAAAGACTACAGTCCGTCGGTAAGGACCCAGAGTTGAGACAGCCAATCGTGAGCGCACAGCAATGAGGATGAGAGATTGTAGACGTCCAAAGGGACGGACAAGGCCTTGCTAACTTGCTACGGGCTTTTTCCCTACGGAAGTGCCACCTTTCGTTCCCGTAAGGACCCACATTCTCTTTACAGTAGTTACTTTTGCCCTTCTTCAGTGTACAATTTACCGTATCACCTGGCTTTGAATGCCATTTTTTATAGTGTACTTGCCCTGCAGAATGGACTGCCTTCAAAGATCGGTTTGTCATTTCATTCATTTCTAGCGACACAATGTTGCTATTGTTTGCCGGGTCTTTTTTCGCTACAGGTCGTTATGGAAAATTTTACAATTATTGCTAACACCCCAACAGAAGTTCAATCCCTTCAACCAAGCAGCAGTTCTACCATCAGCAGTGCGTTGTACCATCATAGGCATGTTGCTTTTTAACTGCCGTGGCTATGCTTATCTACGCCCAAAGCTAATTGCAGCGTGGTAATCATGAGGTTTTGGTTCAAACCAGGCGAGGCAAAGTGCTAGCTCATAAAGATCCCATAATAGCAAGGGTCTTGTGCGAGGTTTTCGTTGAGCGAGATACATATGTATCATCGGCAGATAGCAGCATAAAACTGGTCAAAAATACTCACGTAAGCACTGGTTGAACTACAACGGGGTCGGTTCCTGACGGAGAGTTGTAAACTGTTGGAGCGAAACTCTGAAGAAATTTTGTCACAGTACGCAATTACCATTATCCATTTCAGAGATCATGGAATTTCTTATTTTTATTTTAAAGGCACAACCCAGGCAGAGGTCGTGTGAACGCTTCTCTTCGGTCTGTAGTATAGACCCCTAGAGGACAATCACAAATGTGGCGTTCCCGTGCACGGAAACCAACCGACAAGAGCGCTTGGGCCTTGCAAAGTAAGCTGCTGAAGCTGCAGATTTTTTCTCTTATCAGGCTGTTGTCTGGCGCTCTCTCATCTGTAGCGCTCTCTCGCCTCATACTCTCCTCTCCGCGCTTAGTCTCTCATTCCCTTAGCACAGCCGATTAGGGAGCCTACGAGTTATTCTTTTCTGAGTGGGGCTCAGTCAGTCTATGGAGGTTAGAGATAAAATTGCAGCATTGACATACCGTGCCTATTCCTGCCGTTGTGCTTTTCATCACGTGACCTTGCTCCAATGCTGCCGCCTTATCTTCGGTATCCTGAAAGGTGATAAGTGGTGAATATTGAAGATATGGCAATTCAAAACCAACTAATATGTAGAACAAGGAAAGGTGCTCAGGTCGCCATGGCCATTCGAAATGAGATATATACTCTTATGTGCGCCTTTAAACTAATTTCAAATCTGCCTCCCAAATCTGTCAAATGATTTTAGAACGGATTATGAAGTGAAAGAGCCCAGCGTCGTGGTCTGGGCTCTCATGCACGAGGTCGTAGTATCGGGTCCCACCAAGATAACTCTTTCTTTCATCGTAGAGATTTCTAAAACCGGGATCCCATCCAAAAAATAAACTTATTCCTTTCATCGATAGAGAAATTTCAAAAGGAAGTATTTCGGCTAATTATTTCTATTCAGGCGATTCTAAACCCACGTGAATAATTGAAGATTTTAACGATGTCTGGGCACATATTGAACCATGCATGTTTCAATTAGTCCATGCGTAGTGAAATCTGAGAGAGTTACATCGTAAAAATCGCAGAACTCAACGGGTAGCATAAATTGGGCTGAAGCAGCAGATTGAACAAAGAATATTCTAAGAAAATTGACGCTACTAGAATGTAAAGGGAAATTCGCACGGGAGGGCCGAGCCATAGCGCTTAGTCAAATCAACCAGCACATAAAACCACTTGACGCTTATTGCGGCTTCAATAACGGTATTCAGAGACAATCGTTTAGCAGATTTGGAAGGCATACTTGAAATAATCAAGACAAAGACGCACATCCCATGTTGAATGGCCATGGCGACCTGAAGGGCTTTTTCGTAATCAGGAAGTTCAAATAACAGAAAAACTCATACTAGATCTTCGCAATAAACATGATAAAGTAGAATAACTGAAGATAAAAGTCACAGCAAGTTCGAGAGCAATTCAAAAAAATGACTTAATTACAACGGTTAAGAAAAGAAAACTGTCCGCATCTGATGAGTGCAAGAATAGCCCTTTCAACACCTCATTTAAAAGTCGCAGCCTCACGTATGATTTTTAAGAATATAAAATCACCGTAGGCTGCAGACGTCGCAATATGCAACCGTTGCAAATGTATAATAAGAAAGTTGAATTGCCACAGAAAGGAAGATTCGAGAAGTCCCACAGTGGCTAATTTACGGAGTCTATATGTGGAGAAGAAGAGAGTCGTAGGTCGTAATTATGAAAGTTTAAGGGGTCGTGCTTGCGGGATTGGGGGTAATTATAAACGGAGTTCTCGATGATGGCAAGCTTTTCACGAACGAGGCGTAAAATAGATGGAGCTAGACGACTTCCGCTTCGTTAGGCATATTTGTTTCTGTTCTCAACCATTCTGAGGGAAGAAATGTGCACAGGTCTTCATTTCTGTTATGAATGCTGTATTGGGTCAAATCAGGAAAAACCCTGTCGGGAAACTTCCAAGGAAAAGGACAAACTTTTAATTCTCGAATTCGGGTCGCATTTGTTGAAAAAAGATATTTTGGGGGATGAAATGGGTCCAGCCATTTCTCAGGCATTCTACACCGTTGCGGTTTACCATGTGTCAATTCTTTTACTAAGTCATTTCAGCTGCGCAGTCCAACTTGAGGGAATAATTGGACAATGATCTCCAAATTCATTTCAATCATACTATGCTAATATTACAGCCAGAAATCAAACTAGCACAGAAATCATGAAATTATACAAAGCAGTATCTTGATTGTTGAGGAAGGGGCAGGCTTCACTTTCGGCTACTGCCGTTAGGCCTGTGCCAAGCTTTGCGGATCTAGTGAATTTCTAGCAAATCAAAGGGTATAAGAGCCAATAACTCATTAATGTGAAGAAAGGCGAAACTCTTCTGCTACGTCGACACCTACTATTTTCCTGAGCCTGCGAGAGACAGGTTATGAGAGTGCAAGAGGGTACTAGAGTAAGTGGCGAGAGTCAACGTAGGTGTGAGGATTGTGGCCAGTTTTTCTCACTGTCAAACCGCTGCTGAATTTTTGGACGGTTGTTGCCTAGTCCGTACCGCTGGCGCATCGCTCGAATCTCACTATTCGCTAGCAATTCGGAAAGTCAGACATGACCTTACAAATTGTGAATGGAAGCTCTGCTTAGTTATGAATATCTAATGATATTCGTCTACTTTTCGGGCGAATTGGTGCTTGGCCAAGAAGAAGTGCCCGCAGAATAGTCTCGATATACATTAGCGGTTAAAGGTGTTCGCCGAAACGGTTCTTCGTGCTTCTCTTTTCCTGCCGGAAAGAAATCAATGGTGACCTCTTTCGAATATTCTATTCTTTAAGACTTAAGGATACAAAAACACTAGAAAAAAAACTAAAAAAACTAAACTAGAACTCAACAGGATATCAATCTTTTGAGGGCGTTCCTTGAGCAAAAAAAATAATGCACCAAAAATCGCTTCGGCGACGCTTTTTTACCGCTTCTGTAGCTGCTGACTCTGATAGGCTATATGTGTACACTTACCTTTTCAATGGAATCCTTCCATCCGCCCAAATATGAAGCGACAGTGGTCGCAGGTTCCGAAAATAGTTGGTGTTATTACGTTGAAACAATCGAAAAGTCAGAAGACTGCACTTACCTTGACAAAAGTTTCCCCCGACTTCGACTCACTGAATGTCTTGATCCCACTAAGCCGCCTTTGGATTGTTTTTCGCACCAGAGTTTTCTTTGGTTCCACGGCGTCGTTCATCTCTTCATCTACTGCGTTCTGAATAGAAATTGCTTCCATGCATCAAAGACCCTCTACACTCTACACCCAAAAAGCGAAATTGACATACCTCAGGTTCTGGTTCTGATTTCTGGCTGTCGTTTGCTTTCCAGGAGTCCCGTTCCTCACTTGGTCCCGAAGAATTCAACTCGTTCTCCTGGCGGTCTTCTGCTTCATCAGACTCGTATTCGAGATTTCGATCTTCCCTCTCATTTGAGTCTTCGAGTCTGGCTTGTGAACCGAATCTGGCCATGAGTTCCTGACGTCTCCTCTTAGACAGACTGTCTCCAGGCTGCGACTCTACCCTCTTTCTTTCCAATCCCTCCTTTATCCTCATATGATCTGTTGCGAGATGTTCCTCAGCTTGCCTTGGTGCAGCTCCCCCTCCGAGGTCATCCACCTCTACCCGACGCCTGCGTTGCTTTTCTTGCTGGGCTTTTAATTCCCTTAGGGCTTTTTCCTGCTCCCGTCGCTGGAATTCTTCTTTTAATTGCCTCCGTTCTTCTTCCACAATTTTACGGTGCCGTTCCTCTTGCTGCCTACGATTTTCTTCCTCCTCCAATCGCATTTTTTCTTCGATTAAACGTCGTCGTTGCATTTCCTCCTTCTGTTTTATTCGGCGTTCCAAATCCTCTTCTTCCTTTCTTCTTTTCCTTTCTTCATCCTCTTTTTTCCTCCTCATTTTCTCTTCTTCTTGACGTCTTTTTTCTAATTCTTCTTCCCTTCTCCTACTCTCTTCCTCCTCTTCCAATCTTCTCCTTTCCTCCTCCTCCTCCTTCTTTCTTCGTATCTTCTCTTCCTCTTTTCGCCGATTCAATTCCTCAAGCCACTTTCTTCTTTCCTCCTCTTTCTTTAATATTTGCCTTCGATTTTCCTCCCTCAGTCTCTCAATTTCCTTTTGCTTTTGCTGTTCAAGCTCTGCAGCTAACTTTTTTTGCCTTTCTTCTTCCTTCCTCTCTTCCTGCTGCTTCCTCTGTTCTTCAAGCATTCTTCTTTGTCGTCTTTCTGCTCGAGCAGTTTCCATGCGTTTTCGTTCTGCCGCTCTTTCTCTCATTACTCTCTCGATTTCTGCTCTTCTCTCACGTCTCATTCGCTCACGTCGTTCCTGCAGCTCTCTAATTTGCTTCTGTTCCCAAGCCAAAACTCTAGCGAGCTCTTCTTCTTCCTCCTTTTCCTTTTTGGCTTTTACACGCTCCGAACTCTCAACGAACGTTGGTGTGAGCATCGTCAAAATTTGCACTGGTTGATGCTCCCCATTCTGAAAGTTTCAATGTGAATTACCATAAGACTACGTTACACGTGAGCAGCTTTTGCAATTTGCTTGGATTCCCAAGCCCCGACCCTAATATAAAAAAGGGGGGGGCAAAAAAAAGACATTTTGCCCAGGTCGCACTTCGGCCTTTTTTCTTCGCAGAGATTGCCGTCGTTGACGGAAGTTCCTCAGCAAAATATTCCCTAAATGTCCCTCTATAAGTACACGCAGGCCCTCCTTCACTACCCTCACCGTCTTCAGAATATGACGTCATCTGTCACCGTCGTCGAGCTCAGGGAGGCCTACAGTAACTGCTTCAGCCTGAAGCTCTTACATAATTTCTTGGATCGATTCAACGTGGGATAGTTTCCTAGGGACATTAGCTCTAACTATGCAAACCCCCTCGGAACCCGCCCTTCGGAACCCGTCGTAACGGTACACGATCAGTCGAGAACCCCATTGAGCTCGACCAGAGCACCATGTTTCCGGGGCAAACTTTTCTGATGCCGTCCACGTAGATGGCCACTATGAAGATTTTCTTATGAAATGAAATGCGCTCTTCAATTCTAAGTTGGGAGCACACGCTTTGAGCTGAGCAAAGTGTGATTAAATCCATTTGAGTCTGGAGACAAAATGTCTTTTTTCATTGCCCCCCCCCCCTGTAGAATATATTTATCAATGAAAAACTAATAAAATAAATAAATAATGTAAAAAACACAGGACAGAACTAAAATGTATAATTCGAAAAACATGTCCATGACAAACACTATCCATGAAGTACAATAATTGCTGAATCCTTCAAACGTGATGCGTGAGAAAATCAAGCTGTTCGGTTTATGGGGTAAGTATACGCAGTAAGAAGAGAAAGTGAGATCCTATACAGACGATGCGCAGATAAATATAAAGAGGAGGTGGCAAAGGCGTGGGGAGTCCTACCCAATTTCTGCTACTTCTCTGAGGTTCGCGGCAACCATGAAAGCCACATTTTCTGTGAGGATTTTGGCTCTTGTAACTGATATCGAGAAGAAAGTTTTTATTACGGTAAGAGTTCTGTCAGAACTCGTCCAGAAAGCAAGAATTATGTTTGGATTTTGAGGTGTTCATGTTGCTTGTTTTGACTATAATGGCATTCAAATCACCTACTACTTTCTTATTGGACATCATCGGTGCGTGGTCCATCCCAAGGGGACTGATCAACGCAGGTGTTTCATGTTTAACCCTTTTTATATATATCTTAATTTCATGCAGGTTGTTGGAACTTCACCACCGATGAGATTGTTCACTGTTGATGGTGCTCCTCCTCCTCCTGCGGTTGAAATCTGTCAGAGACCTCAGTTTTTATTACGAAAATAAAGTGGACTTCACGGAGCCCATCAAAGCAAGGGTCAGAATTTCTGGTTTACGAACTTTTCAAATTTTAAAGGTCTATCCATAGGAATCCAGCACTACGGTATTCCACCACAAGGAGGAAGCATGTCGATGCGCTTGAGAAGGTTCAAAATATTTTTACCCGTATGCTGCTTACTCGAATTGATTTTTTTTACCCAAGAATACCAGAAGCAACTATTAGAAATCATTATCTAGGACTGACATCTTTAGAAACGATGCGCAGTGTTTTGACTTAACTTGTTTGTTAACTGCTGTTTTTGGCCGCAGTTCGCCTTGCGAATGTTTCACAAGAATGCTGGGTTGTGAACAAAACTTTCGCCCCAGATGCAATCGAGGTAAGCAAGACGAGCGAGTTCGAGTCCCGTCTGGGGCAATGGTTTTGGTTCACAACCTAGCATTCTTGTGATGCGCAGAGTCTTCGATCTCTGTTCGGGTTCATAAGCTCACTCAGGCTGGTTACGGTTCTTCCGATGTATTCCAAGGTAACCTATTCGAGAACAAGGGGAGGCTCGATGAAGATCTCGTTGACACGGCCTAAAACTAACTTACGGGCACGAAGCTTCACCTTTAGGGCCGGTAGCGACTATTTGAAGTTATTGAAAAGTATACCCGTCACTCTATCGCTGGCGACTCAAACTGCGTGTAGTCTATTTGCCGTTAGGCACTGGCGAATCCTAATGTTTCCTGAGACTGATTTACATAGACTTACATCTATTCTTAATTAGTATCTGCTCTATTTGGCTGTGTGTAGGTTAGCGTCCAGTGCCTTCCGAAGAATATATGTACTCACATATACTTCACAGCCCACGTTGGACCTTGAGACACGGATGTGCGTCTCACCCTTGCCAAATCTTTTCTAGCGCATGCGCAACTTCACCTAAGTTGTTTTATTTATTATGCAGATCATACATTTACCTGACTATAAATATCGTGGTCCATGAAGGGGTTGGATAAACTTCACATTAGCAAAGGCTCCCCAAACCTTAACTTTTCAGCTGGGTCCAAACA